CTTTCTCCCGGGAGCTGTTTCCAGCCCGGCCGTCTGGGGGCAGCGGGCTGCGGCGCTGTCGGCGAGGAGGCGGTGGAGCCTGCGCCACACCGGCTGACTCTGGGACCTGTCGCGTGAGGTAGCTCTCCTAGGAGCGAGCAGTCTGTGTCTACAAGTGAAACACAGTGAGTCTGCATGGATCTACCGTCCCCCGATGGCCAGAACGGAGCTCCAGCTCAGGAATGTGGCCCCTGGTGCACGTCACCAGGCCAGAGACGGCAGCTGCTCCGCAGGAGCCAGGGCTCACCACACCCACACTCGTGGTTGGGGCACAGCTCCCCTTGCAGGCTCTGCTTCTAGGCTGGAAGCATCAGCTCTCTAGTGGTGCTGTGCACGCGGGTGGTGGGAGGGGCGGGGTGACGGCCTGGGGGACACAGCTGTCAGAGGCCTTCGGGAAGGCAGGCCTCCGCAGGAGTGTCACCCACTGTCACGGAGCTAGTCTCCCACCCCGAGGAGCCTCGATTTCGTGTCCTTCGGGTAAATACCCAGAGGTGGGCTTGCCGGGCCATGTGGTGGTGCCGTGTTTAATTTCTGAGGAGCATCCACACTGTTCCTGTTTCCAGCAGCACCAGGTTCCTTCTCCCCAGCACTGCTGACCCCCTGTCCGATGGCCGTCATCCTGACGGGGGGGGGGGGGAGTGCTCGCTCCCTGCGGCTTCCATCTGCATGTCCCTGGTGACTAGTGATGTCCAGCATATTTTCATGGACCTGTGGGCCATCTGTGTGTTCTCTTTGCAAACATGTCTGATCAGGTCCTCTGCCCATTTCTTAACACATTTTTGACCGCTCACGAGTTAACTCGGGTTTTCCTGCCCAAATGCTGCGGACCGCGCACGAGTTAACTCGGGTTTGCACTTGCATCAGCTGTTTCAGGTTTTGAAACTCAGGGTAATACAGGATTATTGTATTTGTGACTCTGCCCTGAGGGTTGAAGTTCAAAAAACAGCACCCGGTTCTATGTTCTTGAAGTAGCTGGGGAACGGGTATCTGCTGGTTCAAATGAGTGCAGCTCGGACCCTAACGTGCAGTTTGCCCGAAAACGTGCGGTCCCTGGCGTGTGTCTTAGATTTCTGTGCGGTACGCAGTGTTAATCAGATGTTTGTTTGTTTTTATACCATTAAGTTGTATCAGTTCCTTGTCTTAACCCCTTGTCAGATAGATGATTTGCAGACATTTTCTCCCCTTCAGTAGGTTCCCTTTTCCTCATACTGACTGTTTCTTTGCTCTGCAGAAGCTTTTTAGTCTGATGGGGCCACGTTATTTATTTTTGCTCTTGCTTTTCATCTTATATCCAAAAAACCGTTGCCAAGACCAATGTCAGGGAGACTTTCCTCTATATTTTCTTCCTGGAAATTTATAGTCTCAGGGCTTAACTTTCAGTTTTTAATCCATTTTGAGTTAATTTTTGTTCTATCCTTTTGATGAATTGACCCCTTCATCATTATGTAACGATCGCTGTCCCTTGTTACAGCTTTGCGTTCGGTCGATCTGTCTTGATAGAAGTGTAGCTACTGGTGTGCCTGTGGTCCCACTGTGCGCTGCCTTCCCCTTCCTTCCCCTGGAACCCGTGTCCTCGCCACCGACCAGCCTCCCGCAGCTGCACGTGCTGGGAGCCGGGTTTATCCTCCAGCCGGTCTCCGACTTGAGATGGGAGAACTTGATCTGTTCACATTACGAGTAATCACTGGTAGGCAAGGGCTTACTAGTGCCATTTTCTTGTTTTATGACTGTTTCGTAGTTCCAAACTTTTTTATTCTAGAACATTCCCCAGCCTTTTTAAGTTTCTTTTAGGGCACTGATGTTTTATCATCACAGCCAGCTGTTTTGCAGAATTTTGACCACGTTTTGTCCCCAGCCCCTGTCCCACGAGGGCACACGTCGTCAGTTTGCTAGTCACTGACAATCATGTTCGCTGCGTCTAGACGTCCATTGGGCCTTCCCCAGGTGCAGACGTCTCATTCTCTGTGAATTCCAGGCGGCCTGCGGGCAGCACCTGGGGCCGCGTGGGCACCCATTCCTCAGCAGTGCCCCCCACAGTGGCAGTAAGCTGTTAACACGAGCCCCCTAAACTGCCGTCTTGCGACCCATGAAGTCTGACGCATCTGTAGGATCCTGAGTGAGGCGACGTTCAGTATCCTCGCTCAGTAACCTCTGAGGTCCCATGAAAACACTGGCATTTAAAAGTTGCAGGCTAAAGTGATAGGTTTTATTTCCTAGCCCATGAAGCGAGTTCCTTCAAGTTGGACGAGGAAGGAAAAATCATGAAGCTGCAAGAGGGCTCCAGTAACGACTGAGAAGTGGCTTCTGCCTGAAGCCGGCCTCTGGGCGCCGCCCATCCAGGCCGGTCAGTGTGTCAGGCGACTGGGCACCAGGCAGAGGGCACCTGCGCCAGCACACCGTCCGACACCGGCGCAGTCTTGAGACTGCAGAGAAGACGAAAGAAACGAGCAAGCAGGGGGTTCCAGAGCGTGCGGGGTGGGGGGTTCCGGGGCGAGCGGTGGTTCTGGGGCGAGCGGTGGGTTCAGGGGCGTGCAGGGGGTTCCAGAGTGAGCGGTGGGTCCAGGGGCCAGCGGCGGATTCTGGAGAGCACGGGGGTGGTGGTTCCGGAGCGAGCGGGGGTGGTGGTTCCGGAGCGAGCGGGGGTGTGTATGTTCCGGAGCCAGCAGGGGGTTCTGGAGTGTGTGTGTGGGGGTTCTGGAGCGCATTACAAACAGCAGAAAACAGGATGCAGCACAGGCCGGTGTGAGCAGCCAGCTGACCTCACCGCTGCTCTGGGAAGAAGGGTCTAGACCACAGCGCTGCACACAGACCACAGACGGACCGTCTGTCGAGTCTCCTTACAGCTTCTGAGTGAAGTGTGGCTTACGTTTTTAGAAGCCATAAGACAGCGTGTGCCGATGGAGAAAACATCTATACACGTAAGGTAAAGCACTGTCAAAGCGGTAATTAGGATTTTGTAACAAAGCATGGAATCGTTTCTGACTGCAGAGCGGACCGTCGCCCTGGGATCACTGGATACCTCGAGGACGACGACGGAGCGAAGCCAGGGAGGGGTCAGGGAAGGATGGACAGTCCTGACCCAGGACGAAGGAGCCGCGGCGGCCAGGCTCTGCCGGGGGAGCAGTCAGGGAAGGATGGACAGTCCTGACCCGGGACGAAGGAGCCGCGGCGGCCAGGCTCTGCCGGGGGAGCAGTCAGGGAAGGATGGACAGTCCTGACCCAGGACGAAGGAGCCGCGGCGGCCAGGCTCTGCCGGGGGAGGAGCGACGTTGCTGAGGAAACGTCACTGGCCAGAAAGCAGCTGTCCTGCGGGCGGCAGGGCAGGTAGGGCGAGGCGTCGCTGTGGTCGAGGGACAGGACTGGTTCAGAGAAGAGGATCAAGCGCAGGAGCTGAGACCAGACGGGGCGTGCGCGGTGGGCTCTGAGCAGGTGGAGGGCGGCGGCGGGGCTGGGGCGGTGGCAGGACAGCTTCTCTGGCGCCACCAGGAGCTCGGCTGGGCCCCCGAGGAGCCGGGTGCTGGAGAAAAGGGCCGGCGGGTCTTTTGCTGGGACTCTGCCCCTTTCCCTAAATAAGGGGCAGGACTGACTTGGACACAGAAATGTAGAAAAATGTGGATGGACCTGCCCCTCCGTCCCCGGCCTCTGCGGCTCCCCCTCCTCCCAGGGCAAGGTCCCTGCAGCCAGAGCCAACCCCTCCCCGCAGAGGGGACCATTCCCGAGCCGGGACAGGGCGGCACTGGGGCATCTCGGCTGGTGCAGACGCCCGTGCAGGGACTCATCTCCCCCTGGTCCGCGCGGTGTGTCCGGGGAGGGCACTGGGGCCAGGCTCGCTGCCTTCCCCGTTGCCCGCCGCCGGCTGGGAGTCTGCTTCCTGCCGCACGTTCTGGGGCCCGCGCTGAGGGGGCCGGAGGGACTCGAGGGACCTGGGAGAAGCCTGTTGGCAGCTGCCCAGCGTGAAGCCCGGGGCCACGTCCCCTGGGGCTCCTGTGCGGCTCTGGGTCAGCACCTGGGCCTGAGAAGGTCTGGCTGGGCGTCTGAGGACACGGGGGCGTGTGTGAGCGTCACCTGCTCGTCCGAGCGCAGGTGGGGCCGCTGCGGCGGGACCGTCAGGGGCAGGAAGGAGCGATCCCTGCGCAGACCGACCAGCCTGGCAGGATGATCAGGGAGAGACCCCAAGGTCCCACCTGCGGGCCTGAGCTGGCTCCGCCAGAACGCCGGTGCGGGAGCACGGGCCGGACCAGAGGGGCAGCCGTGTGGGGAGCCCGGAGGAGCCCCCCTCCCGGGGAGCACGAGCAGGAACCGCGGAGGAGCCCCCTTGCCGGGGAGCCCGGGCCGGAACCGCAGAGGAGCCCGGAGGAGCACCCCTGCCGGGGAGCCCGGGCCGGAACCGCAGAGGAGCCCGGAGGAGCACCCCTGCCGGGGAGCCCGGGCCGGAATCGCGGAGGAGGCCGGAGGGGCACCCCTGCCGGGGAGCCCGGAGGAGCACCCCTGCCGGGGAGCCCGGGCCGGAACCGCAGAGGAGCCCGGAGGAGCACCCCTGCCGGGGAGCCCGGAGGAGCACCCCTGCCGGGGAGCCCGGGCCGGAATCGCGGAGGAGGCCGGAGGGGCACCCCTGCCGGGGAGCACGGGTCGGAACCGCGGAGGAGGCCGGAGGGGCACCCCTGCCAGGGAGCACGGGTCGGAACCGCGGAGGAGGCCGGAGGAGCCCCCCCTGCCGGGGAGCACGGGCCGGAACCGCGGAGCAGCGCGGAGGGGCAGCCCTGGGGGCCACGCCGTCACTTCGTGGGACAGGGCGCCGCCGGGGGCTGACCCAGGCTCCGTGGCTCCCTCCAGCGGCCGGGCCTGCCCTTCGTGCGGGGTCACTGACAAAACACTTGGACGAGCCCCCGGCCCCTGAACGTAAAGGTAGAAGCGGCTCAGAGAAGGTAGAGACGGGTTTCTGGGACCAGGGCTGCATGTACCTTTTCTTCGAAGAACCTTCTCCGGAGCTTGGGGTCTGTGGGCGGCCGTGTCCTCCGCAGGTCGCGGTACCACGTCCTGACCACGTGTCCGCGCCAGCAGGCCTGGATCCTGGACACGGGTGGGATGGCTCAGGGCGGTGCTGTCGGCCGGGACCCCCAGCCCGTGCCCGGAGCGGTGGCGGGCCCTGCTCACCGCGTGGCGCACGTGGCCTTGAACAGCCGGGCCGCGTCGTGAATCACGCGGGTCTGGTACTGGCTCTTCCTGCAGAGGGGGCAGGTCTTTTTACTCGCGAACCTCTCGAAGGCCTGAAGGCATGCCTGGAGAGAGACGGCCGCTGAGAACCGCACCAGCGCGGCTCAGAAGCAGCGTTTTTACTTCGGGTGTGATGACAGCATTCTTGTCTCTCAGTTGTGAGCCGCGGCCCAGTGTAGACCCTGAAGTTCCATCAGGTGTTAACACCCTCCTCACTGACTTGTTCCAAGTGACGTTTCCCGAGAGCTTACACGCGCCTGCACCGGAACGTCTGAAAACAGGTCGTGGGGGGCAGGGCGACCCTGCGAGCCGTCACCCAACCAGGGACCACTGTCTGCGGCCCAGGCCTCGCGGGTTCTTGTCCCATAAAACTCACGGTTTTGCAAACAGGGCAGATTGTACTGTCGCCCGGGTCTATTTCTAGCTGTAAATGGTGACTGTGGGTACAACCAACGGGCCCCACCCCTGACACCACAGGCTCGCGAGGCTCAGGGCGGGTGGGTCGCAGGTCACTCACCCTGTGGAACACGTGGGAGCAGGACAGCAGCACCTGTTTGCGGGAGACAGAGACGTCGGAGCTTCAGATCGGCTCAAAGGGGAAGCAGTGCACACGCGTTAGTCAGAAGAAATTCTGAACGCTTGGAAGGGGAACTTGTTTTTTTGAAAAATTAAAAAAGCAAACCAATAATCTCAGTAGTCATGATGTTTAGTGTTTGAGCTTAGCAAGGCGCAGGTGTATAATCTCAACGAGAAGAGCTGAGTTAAACGGCAAACACACTGGAAGTTTGCTGTGCAGCCACCAAAGGAGCATGTACTTAGCCCTGGCCAGTCTGTTCAGTGGTTAGAGCGTCGGCCGCAGACCAGAGTCCCCCGGGGTGCCATTCCGGCAGCAGCTCCATCCCCACCCTGGGTGGGTGGAGCTAGGGGCATCCCCGCCCTGGGTGGGCGGAGCTAGGGGCATCCCCGCCCTGGTTGGGCGGAGCTAGGGGCATCCCCGCCCTGGTTGGGCGGAGCTAGGGGCATCCCCGCCCTGGTTGGGCGGAGCTAGGGGCATCCCCGCCCTGGTTGGGCGGAGCTAGGGGCATCCCCGCCCTGGTTGGGCGGAGCTAGGGGCATCCCCGCCCTGGGTGGGCGGAGCTAGGGGCATCCCCGCCCTGGGTGGGCGGAGCTAGGGGCATCCCCGCCCTGGGTGGGTGGAGCTAGGGGCATCCCCGCCCTGGGTGGGTGGAGCTAGGGGCATCCCCGCCCTGGGTGGGTGGAGCTAGGGGCAGCCAATCCATGTCTCTTTTGCACTGGGGATGAAAAAATAAATAAGTAAATAAATAAAAGCGTGTGTATTTAACAATGAAACAATTAAGAAGGGGATGGGAAGCATTTCCTGGGCAGGTCCTAGGCCTGTGTGTGTGTGTGGGGGGGGCAGGGAGAGGTGAGCTGATGCCCTTTTCAGGGCTTTCTGCAAGTACATTGTAAAACCACAGCTTCGCTGAGATACCATTCTGACAATTAAATGGTAGTAAGTCCTAGATACATATGAATCACTTTTTGTTTTTTAACCAGGGAAATTGTAGTCATGAGAAAATGCCCCCTTTCTGTGACCCAAACTCCCACAAATAGTGACATTCTGGGGTGTGACCAAAGGTAGAAGCTTAGACCTAACAGAGAAATGATCGTTGGTTCCGGAAGGGAGGGCGAGGGGTGAGGCCAGGTCCAGTCCCTGGGCTGAGCCCACAGGCTGTGCTCAGAGGGAGTGAGCACCCCCCCCTCCCCGCTCAGAGGTGTTTCTCTCACAGCCTGGGGGGTATCTCAGACATCCGGGCCACCTACCTCCATTTTAAAGTGCCCACCCCCTACCTCCATTCAGTCTACATTTTTCTTCTTAGATGGGAAGAAGTGCTGTAGTAAACACAGCTCAGAAAACCAAAACTGCTCCTTGAAACACTAAGCCTGAACTGGGAAAACCCAGTAATGTGGGTTCTGTGAAATCACCACCATTTCACTGAATAACAAGTTTGTGTACTCAATATTCATTTTTTTTTTTTTTTAATCCTCACCCGAGGACATTTTTTGTTCAGATAGAGTGGGAGGGAGAGAGAGAAAGAGAGAGAGAGAGAGAAACATCGATGTGAAAGGGACACATTGCGTGGCTGCCACCGCACGACCCATCCAGGACCAGGGACGAACTGCAACCGAGGTCCGCGCCCCTAGCGGGAACTGAACCCGGGTCTCTCTGGACCGCAGGCCGACGCTCTAACCACTGAGCTAAAACTGGCCAGGGCTCAATATTCATTCTTAATAGAATCATCTTTCAGAGTGTCCTGTCAGAACATATTGGTGACCTATACTGAATAACATCATATTTCTGTATATTTAAAGTATACTTTTAAATGTCCATGGATATGTTACTGCGAACACGCTCTGAGATGACACGGATAATTGACTTGGCGGTGGCAAGCGCATGGGCCGCGTCCTGGAAGCGAGGAGGAGACCCAGCCGGACCAGGGCACTCGGACAGCCTGGTGCTCACGATGAGCAGGTGCAGCGCCTGCCTCGGGGGCATGGGAGCAGTGTGAGCCCTCCGCGGTCGCGGCAGGAAAATGCCAGCTGTTGCTTATAACCAAGGAAAACTTCACAGTGTGAGAACAATAGCGAGAAGTGCAAAATGAACACCAGCGTGTGCATGCATGACTGAACAAAAATAGAGAGTTTAGTGAGAAATTTATAAACAATGGAAGAAATGGTGAGTGTGACGTGTGCTAACCCCTCCCTTTACGACAGATCAGGCTGTTTACGGGGTAAGGAGGCAAAAACATGCAATGGGTAAAGACAATCTATTCAGTAAACAGTGTTGGTAAAACTGGACAGATAACGTGCAAAAAAATGAAACTAGACCACCTTCTTACACCGTACACGAGAATAAACTCAAAATGGATAAGAGACTTAAATGTCAGACTTGAAACCATAAAAGTCCTAGAAGAAAATGTAGGCAGCGAAGTCTCGGACATGTCTTGTAGCAATAATTTTCTGACGTATCTGCTTGGGCAAGGGCAACAAAAGAAAAAAGAAACAAGCGGGACCACAGCAAACGAAAAAGCTTTTGCACAGCAAAGGAGACCATCAATTAGATGAAAAGGGAACCCACTGACTGGGAGAAGATATTCACTGATACATCTGATAAGGGTTACTATCTAAGGTTTTTAAAGAAAAAAACAAAAGTCAACACCCCACCCCAACAATCCAATTAAAACATGGGCAAAAGCCTTGAACAGAAACTTCTCCAAAGAAGACATCCACCCTGGCCAGTTTGGTTCCGTGGTTGGAGCATCGGCCTGTGGACCAGAGAGTCCTGGGTTCGGTTCCCACTAGGGGCACGTACCAAGAAAAACAAAAGACATACAGATGCCAACAGACATATGAAAAGATACTCAAGGTCACTAATCAAGAGCAATGCAAATTAAAACCACAATGACATGTCACCTCACCCCTGTCAGAAGGGTTACCATAAATAAATCAACAAGTAACAAGTGCTGGCAAGGATGTGGGAAAAGGGAACCTTAGTGCACTGTTGGCAGAAATGCAGACTGGTGCAGCCACTGTGGAAAGCTGTATGGAGTTACCTCAAAAAATTAAAAATGGAACTGCCTTATGACTTAGTGGTCCCACCTCTGGGAATTTATCTGAAGAAACTCAAAACACTAATTTGGAAGAATAATGTATGCACCCCTATGTTCACTGCAGCATTATTTACAACAGCCAAGATCTGTAGCAGCCCTGGTATCCACCAGTGGATAAGTGGATAAAACAGCTTTGGTACATTTACACAATGGAATACTACTCGGCTGTAAAAAAGGAGACATTTTTACTCTTTGTGAATGGATCTGGAGAGTATTGTGCTAAGTGAAATAAGCCAGTCAGAGAAAGACAAGTACAATATGATTTCCCTCATATGTAGACTCTAATGAACAAAATGAACTAATAAGCAAAATAAGGACAGACTCAGAGAGACGCAGGCAGACAGCTGTGGGAGGGCACAGTTGGGTGGCTAGGTGGGTGGGGTGGAGGGATTGAGGAAAAAAAGAAAAAAAAGAATAAACAACTCATGGACACAGACAACACGGTGGTGATTGCCTGGGGAAGGGGGGTGTGGGGAGGTGGTGGGGGGAGGTGGAGGAGGGTCTAGTGGGGATAAATGGTGATGGAAGGAGACTTGACGTGGGGTGATGAACACACAATACAGTGTACAGATGATGTGCTGTAGAACTGTGCACCTGAAACCTGTATAATTTTAACCAGTGTCACCCCAATAAATTCAATAAAAAGAAAAAAAAAAAAAGAAAGCAATTAGTTACCTACAAGGGAGCTCCCATAAGAATGTCAGCTGATCTCTCAACAGAAACTCTGCAGGCCAGAAGGGAGTGGCAAGAAATATTCAAAGTGATGAAAAGCAAGAACCTACAACCAAGATTACTCTACCCAGCAAAGCTGTCATTTAGAATCAAAGGACAGACAAAGAGCTTCCCAGACAAGAAAAAGCTAAAGGAGTTCATCACCACCAAACCAGTATTACATGAAATGTTAAAGGGTCTTTGTGAAGAAGGAAAAAAAGATAAAAAATATGAACAATAAAAATATGTCTATCAACAACTAAATCTAAAGAACAAAGTAAACGAACATGTGGAACAAAAGCAGACTCAGAGACACAGAAAACATTTAGACAGTGGCCAGATTGGGGGGGGGGGAGGGCTGGGGAGGAAGGTGAGAGGCTGAGAGGTACAGAGTGGTCGTCACAGAACAGTCCTGGGATGTGAAGTCCAGCTCAGGGAACAGAGTCAGTAACATTGTGGTAACTGTGCACTATGCACGGTGCCCCATGGGTACGAGATTTATCGAGATGATCACTTAGTAAGCTATATAATGTCTAGTCACTGGGATGTACACCTGAAACCAATACAATATTGTATGTCAGCTGTAATTGAAAAATAAAAAATGATTAAAAAAAAAAAAAAAAAAAAAGAGGTTGCTAGGGCCAGAAAGACTCCTTGTGGCTTCATTAACTCTCTCGCGACACTAAAATGCTACATTATCCCAGATGGGGGGCCTGTGGTCTAGGGGTTAAAGTCTTTTTGAAACACCCGAGTCTCTCAGACGTGAGGTTAGGCCCTGATGGAGGACGGAACAGTGTCCCGGGAGCGGCTGTAACTCCCGGGAGCAGGGACCAGACGTCCGCCTGTGAACTAGCGGGTTGGCAGTAGGGCCTGTGAAAGCGCAGCAGGCTGGGGCGGGGGTGGGGAGGTGGGTGTGCAGGGTCGGAAGCCTGCTCCTGGCTGCGTGGGCTGCGTGTCCAGCAGACGGCCGGGCCGGGCCGGGCCGCCCCGCAGAGGGGCTCCCGCGCGGAATCGCTGTGGGGTGGCCGCCAGCCCGAGAGAAGACAAGGACCGGGAAGACGCGTCCCCGGCTCGGCCCACAGTGAACCGGGCGGGTGGACTGTGCGCAAGGAGACCTGTGAGGCAGGTGGGCTGCGGGTCACCGAGAGCGTGAGCACGCGGCACGCATACAGATGGGAAGATTTGAAAGCGCCTTCCACGCATTATTGAGACGCACCCGAGCCTAGTCTCTCCTGGGTCGGTTCAGGGTGAAAACCCCGTTGGCTTCCATGCTCCCTCCGGGCGCAGGGAGCTGCTCTGCGCCAGTGCCCGGGCTCTGCGGGGCGTCCGGCCGGGCGGGGCTCCCTGCGCACGGGGTGCGCACGAGAACGAAGGCCGGGAAACGCACAGAACCGCCCTCGCGAGCGTGCGGCTCGTGAACGAAGAGAAGCCCAGTGTCCGAGGTCTCGGGGGAGAAACGGGAGAGCAGGGGCCGGGGCTGGGGCTGGGCTCTGCGCTGCGGGCCCGACGCCGGGGCGCGCGGAAGGACACGGGCTCCCGAGCCGGCTCGGCGTCCCCGCAGGGCCCGGCCGCCGCCTACACACCTGGGGGCGCAGCTGGAACTCTTCCTTGCAGATGGGGCAGGGCTGCATGGAGTCCCCCTGGCTGACGGACCTCTGCTTCACGCTCCCCCACTCCTCTGCCGAGAGGGGCGGCGGCGGAGGCTCGAACAGGCCCAGCCTCTGTGCTGCGGACGAACACACGGGGCGCGGGTTAAGCGCTGGGGTGCGCGGGGGCGCACCCCCTCTCACCGCACTGAGGGCGTCTGCTGCCGCCACAGCCAGTGCTGTGGGCGGCTCAGAGTCGGGCAGGGGTGTCCGCTGGGCGGGCAGCGGGCTCCCCTCCGCGTGTGCCCACCCCCCGCCGCTAGTGCTCTGGGGCAGAGCCACACTGCTGTCCACGCCCAGCGTCCTTTTAACATCTCTGCTCCCAACTTCCAGTGAAAGTAATTTCTGACTTGCAAAAGGTAGAAGCAGTTGAAGAACCCAGCTTCCCCAAGTTAACATTTTTTTGTAATGGATTTTTTAGAGACACAGAAACATCAATGTGAGAGAGACGCCTCCCCGCACGCCCCCTACTGGGGATCGAGCCCACAACGCGGGCGTGTGCCCTGACCAGAATCGAACCGGGACCTCTCAGTCCACGGGATGACGCTCCATCCACTGAGCCACACTGACGGGGCCCCAGCCAGGGTCACACCGGAGATGGATGCAACCGGGTACGGTCCGTCGCCCTTTCTGTAACCCCAGCCAGGGTCACACCGGAGATGGATGCAGCCGGGTACAGTCCATCGCCCTTTCTGTAACCCCAGCCAGGGTCACACCGGAGATGGATGCAACCGGGTACAGTCCATCGCCCTTTCTGTAACCCCAGCCAGGGTCACACCGGAGATGGATGCAACCGGGTACAGTCCATCGCCCTTTCTGTAACCCCAGCCAGGGTCACACCGGAGATGGATGCAACCGGGTACAGTCCATCGCCCTTTCTGTAACCCCAGCCAGGGTCACACCGGAAATGGATGCATCCGGGTATAGTCCATCGCCCCGTGTTGGGCCCCGAGCTTGTCTTGCTCATCCTGTCCCTGACCGGGACCCACATGGCACTCAGTGGTCCTGTCCTTGGCGTCTCCTATGCCCGGGGACAGTCTTCAGTCTTTATTTGCTTTTCTGGACCTGATACGTTTGAAGAGTACTGTCCAGAATTGTGTGGAGTGGCCTTCAGTCGGGTTTGTCTCGTGTCTCCCCGGGATTCAGTCTGGGTGTGCGCTTGGTGGGGCGCTGTGCCCTCCCCAGAGTGCGGGCTAGGAGGCACTGGCGGGCATGTGTTGCTGTGGGCATGGGTGCTCTGACCACTTGGTCAGGTGCTGTTTGCCCGTGTGCCCCGTGACGCTCCAGTCCCGCCCCTGCAGGGAACACGTGCATGTGGGGAGGTGCTGTGGGCTGTGTCTCAGCGTGACAGCCCCACGGAGGGGTGCCATCACTGTGTCGCTTGCCCAATGGTGACTTCCCAGTCCTGGCCCCTCTACTGGGTTTACCAGTTGTCATTCTACTGCAAGAACGCACTTTTTCTTTCCCTTATTTACAGCATTATCTGTTTGCATCAGTGCGGACGAATGGATATTTATTTTATTCCACTGCCTTTGCTGCCTCTGCTTGGCATCACTGTCTTTATCTACCTGCTCACTTTCCAACGTCAGCACACACAGCTTCTTCTACAAGACTGCATGTTACTTCTGCACAGAGAAAACTGTGCTGCTAACCTCAACCAAATGTTTAGCGCGAAGAAGCCAAAGCATGAGTGGCAAGGTCGGCTTACCTAAAGTTAGTGGTGGCGGCTTTGGGTCAAGGACATACTCTTTTTCCGGATCTTCCTCTTTGGGGCCTTGTGGAGTCTTTTGAAGTCCTGTATCTATTACAGCTTTCGTATTTCTTTTCAGAGACCTGGACGTGTTCTCCCCCTTCGGCGCCCTTGTCTTGGACGGATCAGCCACTGAAAGATTCCGCAGCTGAAGGTCGTGTAAAATGTGATCTTGCAAAGCAACAGCAGTGACGGCTAAGTTATCTCGTCTGGACGGATGGCCCTGGGAGGTAGGAAAAGAGCTGTAGACACAGCGTTACGTAACTGTCGCTGAGGGGAGACCGAGGCTCTAACACTCAGCCTTGAAAGCACACGAGATCCAAGGGAACAGGAAGAGTGTTGACCCATTGTTGCGGGCTGGGAGCAAAGCCAGGCCCCTCGTTTATGGTAATGACACAGTAATATCTTTTCATGCAGTCACCAGGCCTTAATTACACTGCGAATTAATTCATTATGACCTGTGAAGAGAGTGCGTGCCCAAACACATTCTGTTTCGCTCTAATTAAATTAGACTGCAGGCGAATCTCGCTTCTGTTCCACTCACGAGAATCCTGCATTCACGTACATGCTGTTTTGGGTGGAAACTTACACGAGATACAATTGCCATGCAGCTAAGAGGTGCTTGTGGCGTGTACTCAGGTGACAGCTCCCCATTCAAGCAAGGTTTGCCAACTGTTTTTATACTCGGACATAGCTGACTTAATCCATATTCATCACTGAAGCCATGTGTATGTTTCTGAAAATAATTGGGTACCTTATTTTTCAACATGCTCAATCAGGGAGTGTTGTCGCTTGCCCGGCTGTATCAAATCATGTCATCATCATGCCGCCTTTATTCTTCTACTGTAAACAGAGTCCATAGGGAGCCAGGGTTAGGCTGCACATGAACATGAGAACAGCCCAGTGCTCACAGACAATGTTACACACATGTGTCAAAACCTCAGCCCAAAAGGCCAGGGTCTCCGAGTGCCCTGTCCTCCACAGAGAACGCACACTGGGGTTTGAAGGACAGAGGATGAGACACTGGACAGAGGAGGAACCCTGGCTTACTTCAGTGTGTCCACCACACACACACGCGGAACACGGGACAAGCTGGGGGTGGAGTCTTGCTCTGCCTGTTTGCCGGTCAGATTACTTTGCATATCCGAGTCTGTGTCCTCACCTTCAAACAGGTATAACAACACATACATACCTTGTGGGGTTCTTGTTAGGATGAGATGAGACAGTCTTTATAAAGTTTCTTCCACGGGCCTTTCACACCGAAGACACTCTGGAGATGGTTTTGATTGCTCAACCTTCCCCGAGGCTGCTGGAAGAATCTGGAATGGGCTCTTTTAGACAAAGCTGTATTTTCTGAAGAGTCCAAAAATGGGCTGGAATGGGGAGAAAGAGGGAGTTACTGAGACCGTCTAGGAAGTAGTACTGAGGGCCTGGCTGTAGGACTAGAAATGAATCCAAAATGAGGATCGAAGGATCAACACCTCCGTTAGATGCGTCCAGTAGAATGAACTCAGCAGGGAGTGAATGCAGAGAAAACTGGATTCGGCCTGAGTCTCCAGGGCTCAGCGGCTGCCCGGGGCCTCGGCAGCCCGGCAGAGGTTGTCCCTGAAAACTGGTTTCCTTTCAGTCCTGGCCCCAGGGGCTGCAGGAGGGAAGTTTTTGTCCAGACCCCACCGTGAGGGGCTGGAGCAGTGGTCCGAGGCGTGGACAGTGCGGGAGACCACAGCCGGAATCTCCTGCCACATAGCAGCCTTCAATCTGAGCTGAGGGCTTCCCAGACAGGAGGGAACAGCCAGAGACTCGGAGCCTTTCGGGGGTATGTCACTATGTCCTGGCCAGTTCGGCTCAACACTTAGTGCCTCCGCAGACCAGAGAGTCTCGGGTTTGATTCCGGTAAAGGGCATGTACCTTGGTTTCGGTTCAGTCCCCCGGCCCTGCCTGGGGTCCTGGGGGAGGCGGCCAGTGGGTGTCTCTCTCTTACATCAATGTTTCTCTCCCCCTCCCACCCCGCCCAATCTGAAGATAAAATGGAAAAAATATCCCCGGGTGAGGATTAAAAAACAATAACGAGTATGCAACTGGTTTGTGGCCCTGGTGGGTTAGAAACTTAACCTTGCCCCCGTTAGGAGCAGGAAGGAACAGGCACGTCCTCTGAGGGCTCGCGTCCACGGGTTGAAGAGGTAGGGCTGGGGACAGAGGGCCGCCGTGGTGCCCGGGGTACCGGGGTACCGTGTCCCTGTGACCCTCGGCTAGCAGGCTGTGCGACTTAAACACACACAGTGCCCTGGCCAGTTTGGCGCAGCGGTTAGAGCGTCAGCTTGTGGTCCAGAGAAAAACACACACGGGGTGACACGCGCGCAGTTTGAAGGCACAGTGGGGGCAACGCATCAGTTTGCACATGTTTGGCGGGAGGCCCCTGGGTCCCCGCAGCACCCAGGCAGCTGCGACCCGGATCGCGGGGCTCGCTGCAGAAGCGACCATTTGGGCCGCTCCCTTCCCAGGAGCGGGGGGCTTCCGGGGGTCCCCCATCCAGCTGCTGACTATGCAGGCCCTACGGCGGCAGGGGCCCCCACACGGCCGGGGCATGGGGGGGACCCAGGGCTCAGCCCCCCTCCGACCCGAGCCAGGGCGCCCCCTCCCCTCCGCGGGTGGCACCGGCGCAGGGAACCCACCCCAGGCCGCCTGCACCCACCACAGCCTGCGCCCGGGACCTCTGGGACCGCTGCCGTTGCCTAGCAACCGCCGCCTCCGCAGCCACACGCCAGCACGCATGCCCAACGGCCCAGTCGTGCTTTGCGCACGGTGACAAGTTCCGGACGCGGCCGGAGGTTCAGCCCCCCGCGCTACCGCCCCGGCACGGCCGCACTGCGCATGCCCGCCGGCGCGCCAGGCCAGAGCCGCACTGCGCATGCTCCGGCCGGCCTGCAGCGGGCGCTGGGGCCCTGCTGCCGGGTCCGAGCCCCCGCCCGCGCCCGTCGCATTGCGCCGCCTGACACCCGGGCATCCGGGGCCCTGGGGTTGTCTGTCGAGCCTTGGGCTGGGGTGCCCTAGCTTCTTGGATCTGCAGCGTTCAGCACATCGGACAAAGTTTTAGCCATTTATTTTTATGTTTTTAAAAATATGTTTTTACTGATTTTAGAGAGAGAGGGAGGGAGAGAGAGAAACACAGATCGGCTGCCTCCTGCACGCCCCCTGCTGGTGACGATGCCTGCACCCCGGGCGTGTGCCCTGACCCAGGACCGAACCGGGACCTCTAGGTGCACAGGGCGAAGCTCAGTCCCCGAGCCCCACGGGGTGGGCGGCAGCCAGTCACTCCCACCTCTCCGGCCCCCTCCAGCCCCTCTGCTGCGGTGCATTCGCAGCGGACCCCGTCTGTGGGCAGGGCGGCCCCTGGGTGCCCTTCCGCCTGGCTCCGGGGCGGAGGCCCAAGCTCTCGGTAGAAGCCTTGCGACTAATTTCCAATGTGAGCTCTTCCCAGGCCAGGGCTGTGCCGTGAGATTCGGTCTGATGCTGGGCAGCGGCCAAGGCCACCGCTCCGCGCCCCGCTCCACCAGAGGGCGCACCCCAGCGCCCTGCATGCGCGCCTGCGCGGTCCACCCCAGGGCTCCACTGCGCTGGTTCGTCAGGATGGGCCATCCTAGTCAAGGAGCGTGTGTGTATGTGTGTGAATGCATGTGTGTATATGTGTGTGTATGTGTGCATGTGTATATATGTGTGTGAATGCATGTGTATATATGTGTGTATATGTGTGCATGTGTATATATGTGTATGTGTGTGAATGTGTATGTGTGTATGTGTGTATGTGTATATGTGTGTGAATATGTGTGCATGTGTATATGTGTGCGAATGTATGTGTATATATGTGTGTATATGTGCATGTGTGTATGTGTGTATGTGTGAATGTATGTGTATATATGTATATGTGTATGTATGTATGTGTGTATGTGTATATATGTATGTGCATATGTGTATGTGTGTATATGTGTGTATGTGTATATGTGTGTGAATGTATGTGTATATGTGTGTATATGTGTATGTATGTGTGTATGTGCATGTGTATATATGTGTGTATGCATGTGTATATGTGTGCATGTGTGTGCACGGTGTGTATGTGTGTATATGCGTGTATGTATATATGTGTGTGCCTGTGTGTATGTATGTGTGTATATATGAGTGCGTGTGTATATATGTGTGTGTGATGTATGTGTATGTGCGTGTATATGTGCATGTGTATGTTTGTGTATGTGTGTATATATGTGTATGTGTGTGTATATATGTGTATGTGTGTATATACATGTGTGTGTGTGTATGTGTGTATATATGTATGGTATATGTGTGTGCCTGTGTATGTATGTGTGTATATATGTGTATATATGAGTGTGTGTGTGTATATGTGTGAGTATATATATATGTGTGTGTGTGTGTATAAATACTCACTGATACCCCGTTCATTTTAATTTTTTTCCTTTCATTTTTGGACGATTTCTATTGCTAAGTCTTCAAATTTGCAAATCTTTCCTTCTGCAGCATTTGAGGCCACCCCAGGTCTCTGGCTCTTCATCTCTGGAAGCTCAGCACGCGTCCCTGTCACGTCTTCCACACGTCCCTAACATGCTCCCCTCCAGCTGCTCGAAAACGTGGAGTGTATTTATACTCGCGTCATTAGATACTTGTCTTTAGTGTAAACATCCCTGTCAGGTCTGGGTCTGTTTCTGTGGATTCCGTTCTCTTCTCATTATGGGCTGTATTTTCCGCTTCATTGGTCAGTAAAAAAAAAAAGACAGATTCTCTGGCTCCACCTCCAGATATTCCTGTTTAGTGGGACTGGGCAGAACCAGGCACCTGCAGTTGTTTTTTTTTTTTTTTATCCTCACCCGAGGACATTTTTCCATTTTTTGTACAGACAGAGTGGGAGGGAGAGAGAGGAAGAGAGAGAGAGAGAAACATCGATGTGAAAGGGACACATCGAGTGGCTGCCACCCGCCCGACCAACCAGGGCCGGGGACAAACTGCAATCGAGGTACGTGCCCTTAGCGGGAACCGAACCCGGGTCTCTCCGGACTGCAGGCGGATGCTCTAACCGCTGAGCCAAACCGGCCAGGGCTGCAGTTGTTTTTTTAATACACATTTTAAAGTTGATTTTAGAGAGAGAAGAAGGGAGAGGGAGAGAGATAGAGACATCGATGAGAGAGAACATCGACTGGCCGCCTCCTGCGTGCCCCCCACTGGAGATTGGGCCCATACCTGGGCATGTGTCCTGACCAGGAATCAAACCAGTGACCTCTTGGAATGGGTTGACACTCAACCACTGAGCCACACCGCCGGGCATGCCTGGTCATTTTTGATTGGATGCCAGACAAGGTGAATTTTATGTTGTCGGCTTTTTCATGTTCCTTTAGTGCAGCGGTTCTCAACCTGTGGGTCGTGACCCTTCTGGGGGTCGAATGACCCTTTCATAGGGGTCGCCTAAGACTATCGGGAAACACATTTCTGATGGTCTTAGGAACCGAGACACTGCTCCTCTATCCGTCTCCAGGCGGGTCCGCCCACGTACAACATGAGGGATATACTAAAGGGTGGCGGCATTAGGAAGGTTGAGAAGCATCATTTCAGTGGTTTTGAGCTTTGTATGGACACCTGTAGTCACCTGGAAACAGTGTTGCCTTTAGCCTGTGGCTACTTTGTTCCCAGGACCTATGCGAAACCCTCCAAGTGTTAGCAGCCTCCACACTGGCGGTCAGTCAGGAGCTGGGGCTGTTCCCAGCCTGT